GCATCGGAGATGCATCGGCGATGCACTGGCGATGCATCGTCGACGTGGGCGATGCATCGGCGACGTCGACGTGAAGCCAATCGGGCTCCACATCGAACCGCATCGGCGATGCATCGGCGATGCGGCGCCATCCTCCGACCCCATCTGCTCCGACCCCATCTATGAAGCGGCCCTGGGACACACAAATAAATACACACCAATTACCGGATTCCCGATATTTTCACATATTTTCTGGAATCCCCCCACTTCCCATATTTTCCCATATGTTCGGGGGAATCGACGATTAATTGTGTCTGTGTTTCTTTCCCTCCAGAATCTAGGAGGCCTGGATCCCTCGCCCGCACAGGCCCGTGCCAGGCGCCGAAGTCAACGACAAGAGCGAGCACTTGTATCAAACAGCGCGCCCTGAGCCATACCGAGAGCTACGAACATGTTCTGCTGATGAGTGGAGAACCTCTCTGCTACATGTCAAGGCATACCTTCGCTATCTACTACGCCTACGGCGAAACGCACCACCTGGACTTCGAGGGCCAGGAGGTTTCTGATTGATACCCGTGCCAGGCGCCGAAGTCGGCGACAGGAGCGAGCACCGCGCCGCGCCTCTCCTCGGCAGCGCCCGCGGGCCTGCCCTTCGTGGGCGTGCCCTCGCGCGCCTGCCCTTTGCGCAGTCGGCGTGCCCTCCGCCCGCCAGCACCATCGAGCCTCGGGCTCCGCTCCCTGTCCAGCTCTAGGTCGGGCCTGTCCCCCTACAGGGGGATGTTGGACGAAAAACTACCCCAAAACGAAGAAAACAAGGAAAAAAAAAACAAGAAAGCGTGCCCAGATTATTGTTTGACCGTTTTTGGAGACTCCCCCTGTAGAGGGACGGGCCCGACTTGAGTCCAGCTGCCGCCGCGACTCGTCGGGCCCGAGAGCCTCCCATGACAGCGTCGTGGTAGAAGTTCAACCAGTTCAGGAACGCTGTGGAATGATTCACCCTGGTCCTGGCCCCGCCCGACTTCTACCTCGCTGCTGTGCTTCTGCGGGATCTGGAACAGCGGTCCGTCGAAGCAGAGGGCCTCTGCGTCGCCCTCTGCGTGGGGCGACTCCGCGAAGCCCCGCTGGGAACGGAGAGCTGCGCCGAAAACGGACGGGTGACCATCTGAGGCCCGCCAGCGAGGGCACCCACCGACTAACTTGCTGCGGCTCTCTTGCCTTCTAGCACGATCTCTTGCTGAAGCCTCTCCTGCTCGTTTTTGCCGTGCAATGCGCGCGCGGTCGCAAGAAACCAAACCCTGAACTAAAGGCCTCCTAGATGGGGTCGGCGCAGTCGGGCCGCATCGCCGATACATCGGCGATGCATCGTCGACGCGGGCAATGCATCGGCGACGTCGACGTGAAGCCAATCGGGCTCCACATCGAGCCGCATCAGCAATGCGTCGGCGATGCGGCGCGACCCTCCGACCCCATCTGCTCCGACCCCATCCAGGAGGCCGAGATGCTCCTGAACGCGGCAGCCTGTCGGCGGGAGCGGCAGGGAGAAGCAGAAGGAGACGGCGACCGACGGCGGCGGCGGCACCAACCGCGGGCCCGCGAGCGGAACGCGTCGCTGGCGCCGCGGGGGGCCTGCAGGCTCCGGGCGGTGAAGGGCTGGGCGGCGCACGCGCAGGGTCAGAAGCACCCTGGGGGGGACGCTAGTGGGCCGCAAAAGCCTGCGGAGGGCGTCAACGTCGTCATCGCCATCTTCGTCGTACCCTGCCTCGTGTTCCTCCTCCTCCTCCTCCTCCTCCTCCCCCTCCTTCTCCTCGTCCTTCTCTCCCTCCTCCTCCTCCCCTTCCTCCTCCTCTCCTCCTCTCTCTCCTCCTCCTCCTCCTCCTCCTCCTCCTCCTCCTCCTCCTCCTCCTCCTCTTCTGATCATTAGTTTTATTATTATTACTATTATTATTATTATTATTATTATTATTATTATTATTATTATTACTAGTACTATTATTATTATTAGTAGTAGTAGTAGTATTATTATCACTATTATTAGTATTAGTATTAGTACTAATATTATTATTATGATTATTATTAGTAGTAGTAGCAGTAGTATTATTATTAGTATTATTATTACTTTTATTATTATTATTCGTCGTCTGATTCGTCTTAGTATTATTACTATTCGTATTATTATTATTAGTAGCACTGTTAGTAGCATTGGTATGCTTATTAGTATTGCTGTTAGTATTATAATTGATATTAATATTAATAGTATTCCTTTTCATACTAATATTCATACGAATATTACTATTAGTAGTAGCAGTAGAAGTAGCAGTATTATGCTTATTACTTCTCTCATTATTCCTACTATTCTTAGTATTCTGATTATTCTTATTATTAGTATCATTAGTCTTATGATTACTCTCATTATTCTTAGTATTATTCGTATGTTTCTTCATCTTATTATGAATGTTCCTCTTCCTCATCATCATCACCATCTCACCATCATCACCATCATCATCATACCCCATCATCATCATCATCATCATCATCATCATCATCATCATCATCATCATCATCATCATCATCATCATCTGCATCATCATCACCAGCATCAGCATCAGCATCAGCATCAGCATCAGCATCAGCATCAGCATCATCATCATCATCATCATCATCATCATCATCATCATCATCATCATCATCGGCATCGTCATCGTCATCGTCATCGTCATTCTCATCCGCCTGTTCCTCCTCATCCGCCTCCTCATCCTCCTCCATCTCCTCCCTCCTCAGCCGCACCGTCATCACCATCAGCCTCATCATCATCATCATCATCATCATCATCATCGTCATCAAAACCAGCATCATCATCATTATCATCGTCGTCGTCGCCACCATCATCCTCATCAACAAAAACACCATAATCATCATCATCATCATCATCATCATCATCATCATCATCATCATCATCATCGTCATCATCATCATCATCATCATCATCGTAAGCATCATCATCATCATCATCATCATCATCATCATCATCATCATCATCCCCCTCGTCATCATCATCACCGCCATCAGCATCAGCATCATAATCATTATTATCATTACCATCGGCGACGGCGGCAGAACCTTCAACGATCGTCGTCGTTGCAAGTGTCGTCATCATCAAGCCCAATCATCAGCATGACCACCAACATCACCATCAGCAGCATCAACATCATCCTCCCCGTCCTCATCCTCATCATCATTATTGTCCATTGTTGTTATCGTCCGCATACTCGTAGTACTCTCGGCCACCTCCTCCTGCCGCCCGCCCCAACTCCTCCCCTGGTTCCCCCTCTGATTATTCATTTGGTTATTTTCTGTGGTTCTTCTTAATCATCATCCTCCTCTCCCTCGTTTTACTCATCAGCATCCTCATTAGCACCATCGGCATCCATTAGAACGATCGCCCAAATCAGCCCCATCATCATCATCATCATCATCATCATCATCATCATCATCATCATCATCATCATCATTGGCAGCAGCAGCATCATCCCGGGCATCATGTTCATCATCACCGTCATCGTCCCTCACATGCTCATCCTCCGCATCGGTGGTATCATCTGCTTCCCTACATCATCATTTGCAGATTCCTTCTCATCCGTACCTACTGCACATTTCGCCGATACATCGCATGCCGAGAACTTCATCATCTTCCCATCTTCCTATTTCTCCCGCGGGCGACTATGTCCACGTTGTCGGAGAAACAACCATCATCATCATCATCATCATCATCATCATCATCACCATCATCATCATCGTCATCGTCATCATCATAAGCAGCAGCAACATCACCACCATCACCAGCATCTCTGCCGTCATCATCCACAGAATCATCGTCATACCAATCGACATAACTATCAGCATCACCATCATCGGACGGACGGACGGACCACCGCATCAGGCGAGCCTGTCCCACTACGGGGAGGGATGGAAAAGCACTGTGGCGCTACTCTACTGCATCCTGCAAAACTCAGCTTCCCATCTCCGCCAGGCCGGCGCGTCGCGAGCATACTCACACCAAAACAGCGGCGTGGCTGCCAGTCCACGAGCACATAGAAAAACACAAACTGCGTCACACCATCGCCTCTTCGGCCGGTTTGGCCGTCTGTACTTTCGGCGCGCATGGTCTTCAGGATCCCACTGCGCTGCTCTGCAAGCCCACCGGTCGCCAGGCAGTTCGTTGTGCAATTCGCAAAAAAACTTCCAGACTCTGCGGCGCCACGCAAAACACCAGTCATCGACGCCCAGCGGGGGCATCTGGTCGTCCATGTAATGTGTGACTGGTTGTGCCCAGTCCACCCACGGCTCAAGGTGTTCGTCCTCCTCACCGATATCAGAGCATGGATATCCAGTTGACGTCTGCGTCGAAATATGGGCGGGTGATGAAGATGATGAAGACGAAGCAGAAGAAGACGATGTACTTCCTGCGTTTAGTTGCCGGCGCCTCCAGCCACGCGCCGCACATCGGATAACATTCTTTTGACGTGTGCCAAAGTGCCCCCGATAATAAGCACGTCGTCCGCACAGCGCAGATTCGTCATCTGGGAGACCGATACGCACCCCAGTTGCAATCCATTTGTTCTCGCCCATTCCGGTTTCACGGCGCGAAACAAGTCTCCCAGCAGGGAGTTGAAGAGCAAAGAACTAAGAAGATCTCCCCGTTTTGTGCCGCGGGTGATGTTGAAAGACTGGTTTTCGACATTCATGCGGACGCGCGCGCATTGTCTGGCGCATAGCTTTCGCAATAGAGATACACATGCCGTCGGCGCCCCTTGCCTGGCGAGAGCATACGTGGAAAAGCCGCGTCTGAAGGCGGCTTGGTCCACGCTTTGTTGAGGCTCCAGAATTCTGACTAGCCGTCTGTATAAGAGGCGCGAGAACGACTTGTATCAGATCGGAATGATAGTTATGGGCCGGTACTTATTCGAAGGCGCTCGCCCCCAGGCTTCAAGGTTACCGCAATCACCGCCTGCTTCCGAGACTGCGGACGTTCTGCATCAGGCTTTCGAGCGTCATTGTACAACCTGGCCAACGATTGCAGAAGAACGCCCCCGCCATGAGAGAGCACCTCGCTAATTATTCCTCGGGTGTCTGGACAACAATTGTTCTTCAGCTCCTTGATGGCCTCGTGGACCTCATCGCTCGCGAAGTCTTCCATATCTGACAATGTCATTTTGGATTCCAGCCAGCTCCGGCGCCGGCTCCACTGCACATTTGCTCGCGTATGGAAACTGGTAGAACGACGCAAATACATTGGCCATCTCCACGCGCGCAATCAAGACCGCGTTTCCATCCAGCATGCTTGGGGTCAACCGTTTCTTGACCAGCGATTTCAACTTTGGGATCTTGTCGAAACAGGCGAACGTGTCCAGAATGGTCGCAATGCGCTCGGCGGCCTGCAACTTAGATTTCTTTCTTCTGTAACTTCTGGATCGCTTTGCTGATTCCGGCTCTGTCGGCACCACTGCCAGCCGATAGCGTCCGTCTTTTCACGATCAGCTCTGAAATCGAATTGCGGAGGTCTTTAAGTTCGATGCTGGCCTGCTTTGTGGTCGGGGTCGAACTGCTGACAGCTGCATCAACCATGGCGGTCCCCAGCTAAAGAGCCTACGCAGCAACCGTATTTTCCGTACTAAAGTCAACTACAAATGAACTGATCACGGACTGTCGAAACATGTCCTTATCGACGGTTCTCCAATCAACCCAGTGTTTACTCGTTCCAACGGCCTGGTGTTCGCTGTCTGGGAGCCCCGACGGATACCCAGGGAAATTGAGCACAACCTTCACAGCACGGTGATCCGAATTCATATCGAAATCCGGAACGGCACCGCAATCTCTCGCACACTTCCAGGACGACCGGTCAGCAAAAATGAATCCATCTGCCGTTGCTGTTTTTTCGATCCCGCGCGCGTTGCCCGCCCGCTCGGCAGTTTGGGGAAGAACGCGCTGCGGAGAACCACCTGCTCGAGAGAAGCCCATTGTTTCAACCATTGCCCTCGCGAGCTTCCACATCGAAGCCCATGTAATCCAACACTTTTGGCGTCATCTGTCTCGAGCCGGTAGCCGACCTCCGCGTTGAAAGTTCCAGCCAAAATGAATGTGTACTGCTTCTGCTTAGCATCCCTCTTGATATCAGATAACGCGGTGTACATTTCCTGCACGCGAATATCCGCATATTTCGCATGGGGGAAACAAGCAGACACTATCCTGACCCACTGGGCTCCCCAGTGCAAGTCCAAATACATGAGGCGTTCGTTGATGACGGCAACTGTCTTCATCAATTCCGCCCACTTCCGGTGAATACGAATGACTGCACGATCTGGGTTGGCATGTCCACTCCCAGCAAAGATGTATCCGCCGAAAACTGTGAACAGTTAGTGCTTCTCTGTGCGCCATGTCTCGTTGAGCGTCACAACACCCCACCGGACATGACCCAGCTCGCAGAACAACTCCTGCAAACGCCCAGCGGAGACCAAGCCCCGAACATTTTTATGATAAAGAACAAACTTCGTATCCTCTCGCCTCGGAACTGTTACACGTTGGGATTCCCCCAGCTGCGTCTTTACGCCGAGCAGCGCTGCCACGGGAAGGTCTCCACACACGCGCCGATAGTTCCCCGTCCCCCACCGTTGGAAACAGCAATTGCTTTTGATTGAACTCCTGCTACGCCAGATGATCAAATCTCTACCACTACCTGCTAAAACTTCTCCTGGTACTGCTCTGCTGCCCCAAATAACTTCATCTTGCCCTCCCCCTCCTTCTCCTTCCACTCCGCAACCCGCCTGTCGTTCCACCACACAATCCCCTGCCCGTAATCAGGGTCAATGCTCTTCTTGATATCATCGCCATTCCCGGGATTGCTTTCGATGATCGTGCGCACGACCTTTCGGACGGCTTTAGTCTTGCTTGGATTCGAATCGCGTAGTGAATCTAGATTTGCATAAATGGTCTCCCCCATCACCTCGTGCTGTAACTTGCCCCAAGTCTCCGCAAAGTACTTCCACATCGCCTCTTCCGTCTTGGATCGAACCGCTCCCCGGATAGCAAATTTACCAAACGCAAATATGTCGTCGACATCGTATTCAATATGTTTTGTCCATTCCTTCACATGTCCTTTGATGATGTCATTATTCGCATCTTCTGGGAAATTGCCCAAATACACTGTGCGGAAACGCTTTTCTACTTCTGTTCCCTCCTTCCCCTTTCCCATCCCTTTAGCTGCAGAGATATCGGCCCTCAAGCTCCACTTCGACGACAACTTCGAAAACGCACCTCGCTTCTCCGTCTTTCCTACCCCCTCCTTCATGCTACTGCCTGTGGTCAGCCCTTCCGCTTGGACGATTTCTTGGACCCTCTTTGGGAGATCTTCTTTGTTTACTGCGGACTCCCGGATTTGGTTGACCTCCCCCCTGACGATCTCCACGGTTTGCTCTACCATGCTGGCCGTCGCCTTCGCCTGGTTTGCAACCGTCTTGATCTCTTCGGTATCCTCCTTCGACTTACGCATGTCGCTCCGCGTCTGATTCGCCATGCTCATCATCCTCTTCATCATGCTCTTCATGTCAAGCTCCTCATCCGCCTCTTCACTCTCAATCTGCAACGTCTCCTCATCCTCCGCCTGCGCCTTGCCGTCCTGCTTCAACTTCTTCTCCTTTGATGATGAACCGGTCTTTGCCTCGGCCTTCCCGGCCCCCTGCACTGGCCAACAAGGGATGGATCTCCAGAGTGCTGGTAGTCACAACCGCCCCGGCGCACGAGCCAAGTTCAATGGTTACTTGAGCCGGGGAACTTCAGCAGCCGAAACAGCATCACCCGCGTCACCAGCATCATCATCATCATCATCATCATCATCATCATCAGCATCATCACCATAGTTACCCCATCATAAACAGTATCGCAATCTTTACCACCGTCATCATCATCATCATCATTATCAGCATCGTCGTCATCCGCTTCCTCAACCAGTTCCTCCTCGCCCACTTCCTCCACCTCCTCCACATCGTCCACATCCCCCTCCGACACATCACCATCAGCATCAGCATCAGCATCATCATCATCATCTTCATCATCATCATCATCATCATCAACATCATCATCAACATCACCATCATCATTTGCAACATCATCATCAGCATCATCGTTATCAGCAGCAGCAGCATAATCATCATCGTCAGAAGCAACACCATTATCATGAGCATTGTCGTCAGCAGCAGCAGTATTATCACTATCGTCGGCATCATCCTCATCATCATCAACCGCACCATCCCTACCATCATCATAAACATCATCATCATCGTCACCATCATCAGCATCAGCATCATCATCACCACCATCAGCATCGTCATCCTCATCATCACCGTCATCATCATTCCCCCGTCCCCACGCAACGGTGCCCGGACAAAAGTGACCACACCCATGGCGGGAAGGCGATGCAGCATGCTAACAACCACAACTGCGAAATGCCTTTGCTTCGCACCCCTTCCCGCCAAATCCAAAGTTGAAATGTCCAAATTTTGTCCCTGGCCTTTGGCCTACCGCCTAAACCCGTCAACTTCGAATTTGGGGGAAGGGGTATACATGATGTTGGTCCGGTAATTTAAAATCTCAGGGTTCTAGCGAGACACGTGTGAACACTTTTAGTCCACCCACCGTGGTAATCAACCCTGTCAAGAGCGCCTCAAGAGGCCCCACGAGGACTGCAAGAGGCACCCGAGAGCCAGCCAAGAGGCCCCCGAGCGGCCACAGAGAGCCTGGGATGACCTCCAAGATGGCTCAGATAGCCCAAGCTTGCTCAAGATGGCTCCCAAGATGCTCCAAGCGCGGCCCCAAGACCACTCCAAGACGGCTCGAGATGGCCACGGAGTCTCCCAAGCCTCCCTCGCTGTTTGATTATGCGTGTCTCTTCCTCTCGCCCCCCGTCAACTCTCATGGGCATCGTTTCTGGATGGGCTGGTGGGGGGATACGCGAAGCGTCAAGAATTGCAAGCGAGGATCGAAGCTCGAACGAATGGACGAACCACCTCAGCTGACGTCAGTGACGGCCTTAAGACCAGGTGGATGAGGGCCTTAAGACCACGTGGATGAGACCATGATAGGACCCCTGGCCTTGCATTTCGAATCCAGGCAGCGCAATGGCCACGCGTGAAGTTGACGACGGCGCGTGTGATGATAGTGGCGATGGTGGCGATGATGCGCACTCGACACACTACAATGCGAACCGCGGACATGCAACGCAAAGCAAAGCAAAGCAAATCGAACGAAACGCGGGGCCCAAACAACGAAAACAAACAACGGTGCGCCCTGGCAACCCCGCGGCTTCCCTTTGCGTGGAGAAGTGCGTGGAGCTGGTAGAACTGGCACAACTGGATAGAACTGGTCAGAGAACTGGTCATGGAACTGGTCCGCTTAAGATAGGATCAGGCATAGAACTGGTCGGTTCAAGTGCCGAAAGTTTAATCAGAGGCAGCAGCGTGGAACGGGGACTCCCCGCTGCAGTGTCCTGGCGGGGAACCGCGGGTCACGCCCAGAGGCCGCGGGTCGCTCCATAGAAGACCGAACGCTGCAAAGACCCGCGGCCACACGCGTATGGATCCCACGCCCAGGCTGGCAATGTCCTGTGTATCCAGCTTCCTTGTGCAAAGTGGCTTGCACACGAGTGTGCGGCGACCTTGCGCGGTGGCACACGCAGGCCTCCGGCGCGGCAGACGACATGAATCAGACGGCGCCGATGCTCCTACTTCCGCGGACAGCCTGCGCGCAGGTGAACGCGCAATCGATCCCCGTGGCATCGCCCCCCCAATTTTAAAGTAGGCGGTGCAACGGACCGCTTCTGTCAAAGACTCGTCACCCCCTTCGCGGGCGGTTAACCCACCTATCCCGCTGGCAGACCGTGGAAGCCTTGGATAAGGAACCCAGGGTCTGGAGCTTTGCCGAAACAGATAGCGACCGCACCCCCAGCGCACCCCCTCTGGTGTCGAGAAAATGCCACGCCTGCTAGGCCCTGCGACATTGGCGCGTATAGAGACCGCACTGAGGGACCACACCCTGCGCACCCCCTCCGGTGTCGAGAAAGTGCCACGCCTGCTAGGTTCTGCGACATTGGCGCGCATGGAAACCGCGGTGAGGGACCACCCCCTGCGCACCGCCTTAGGTGTCGAGAAAATGCCACGCCTGCTAAGCCCTGCGACATTGGCGCGTATAGAGACGGCGCTAAGGGACCACCCCGTGCGCACCCCCGTCTGGTGTCGAGAAAATGCCACGCCTGCTAAGCCCTGCGACATTGGCGCGTATATAAACCCCGCTGAGGGACCACCCCGTGCGCACCCCCTCCGGTGTCGAGAAAATGCCACGCTTGCTAAGCCCTGCGACTTTTGGCGCGTATGGAGACCGCGCTGAGGGACCACCCCCTGCGCACCCCCTCTGGTGTCGAGAAAGTGTCACGCCTGCTAGGCCCTGCGACATTGGCGCGTACAGACACCGGGGTGAAGGACCACCCCCTGCGCACTCCCTCCAGTGTCGAGAAAATGCCACGCCTGCTAGACCCTGCGACATTGGCGCGCATGGAAACCGCGGTGAGGGACCACCCCCTGCGCACCCCCATCTGGTGTCGAGAAAATGCCACGCCTGCTAGGCCCTGCGACATTGGCGCGTGTAAAGTTCGAGCTGAGGGAGCACCCCCTGCGCACCCCTTTCGGCGTCGAGAAAAAGCCACGCCTGCTAGGCCCTGCGACATTGGCGCGTATAGAGGCCGCGCTGAGGGATCACCCCCTGCGCACCCCCTCTGGTGTCGAGAGAGTGCCACGCCTGCTAAGCCCTGCGACTTTTGGCGCGTATGGAGACCGCGCTGAGGGACCACCCCCTGCGCACCCCCTCTGGTGTCGAGAAAGTGTCACGCCTGCCAGGCCCTGCGACATTGGCGCGTATAGACACCGGGGTGAAGGACCACCCCCTGCGCACTCCCTCCAGTGTCGAGAAAGTGCCACGCCTGCTAGACCCTGCGACATTGGCGCGCATGGAAACCGCGGTGAGGGACCACCCCCTGCGCACCCCCTCAAGTGTCAATGCCACGCCGGCTAGGCCTTACGACATTACCGCGTATAGAGACCGCGCTGAAGGACCACCCCCTGCGCACCCTAGTGCCACGCCTGCTAGGCCCTGTGACATTGCCGCGTATAGAGACTGCGCTGAGGGATCACCCCCTGCGCACCCCCTCCGGTGTCGAGAAAATGCCACGCCTGCTAGGCCCTGCGACATTGGCGCGTATAGAGACGGCGCTAAGGGACCACCCCCTGCGCACCCCCATCTGGTGTCGAGAAAATGCCACGCCTGCTAAGCCCTGCGACATTGGCGCGTATATAAACCCCGCTGAGGAACCACCCCCTGCGCACCCCCTCCAGTGTCGAGAGAATGCCACGCTTGCTAGGCCCTGCGACATTGGCGCGTATAGAGTCCGCGCTGAGGGACCACCCCCTGCGCAGCACCCCCTCTGGTGTCGAGAAAAGGCCACGCCTGCTAGGCCCTGGACGACCGGCTCGGATAGCGACCGCGTTCAGAGACCACCCCCTGCGCACCCCCTCTGGTGACGAGAAAGTGCCACGCCTGCTAGACCCTGCGACATTGGTGAGCATGGAAACCGCGGTGAAGGACCACCCCCTGCGCACCCCCTCTGGTGACGAGAAAGTGCCACGCCTGCCGTGCCCTGCGCCATGGTCCGCATAGAACCTCCTGTCATGCACTGCGAATCCTACACGCACGTCTTACATATGGCATGTCATGCGTATGTGTATGATGCGTGTGCGGCCGGATCGGAACGTGTGCCTCATGTGTGTGTGCCCATGATGCACTCGTGGGTGTATGATGCAGTGAACACGCCAAACGTGCACTAGCTTTGTATGGTGAATGCGAATGTTTGCATGCGTGCGGCTGTCTGTAGATGCGTGTCTCACGCACGTGCCGTGCAAGTGTTGCGTGCAGGTGGGGAGAAGGAAAGGAAAAAGGAGAAGAGGGAGGTTTGTGAGCGTCGCGGGTGCAACGCGGCAAGGAAGAAAACCAGAACCCCACGAAACATGTGGGGAAAAAACACACGGTTTCGTAACACGCTTCTTTTATGTAAATAGTGCGCGCATTCTTCCGAATTCTTCAAAAAAACCTTCGGCATGTGAGCACTTTCACAAAATACTACCTAACGGGCTTCGCGCGCATAGCGAAATCGTTCGAACGCCTTTGCGCGCGCGCCGTCGCGAGAATTCTTTGCAAAAAATTGACGAAGTGCACACGCGCGCGTCGTCGCGCGTACATGCCGACATCATGCAAAAAATGTTGGTTTCGTAACGATTTCAAAAACGAATACCAAAAAAAACCGTCAAAACTAAGGTTCCGCGCGCTCTGGTGAGAAAAACATAGATTGTTCAACAACATGTCCATGGAATATTGCCAAGCGGGCTTTTGGCGCCGCATGCCGACAGCATTCGCACGCCCTTGCACGCGTGCTGGGGGAGCACGATCCGTGTCAAATCAAACCACGCGGGCAACTCTCTCGCGTCGGCCGCGCGCGCATGTCGAACTTTTTCCAAAACCTTCATCACCGACGCGAGGACGCCGTCAACGTCGCCGGCGAAATCAGCATCGGCACCCGCACTTGCCGCGCTTTCGTCGGCGCGAACATCGTCACCAGCATCGCCATTCTCACCATCGCAACTACCGCAGTCAGCGTTGCCGCGATACCGCGCCCGCCCAAACTGCCGACTCGCAATGAAGTGCCCGCTGGGATGCGCCCAGCGGTCAGCGCCACCGCGGCCGCGTCGGCGGCGCCAAACTAGCTGGCCGCCGCGTGCGCGTGCCATGGTTGGCGCGGCCACGAAGATGCACCACACCAGCCAACGCCAAGCGCGCATCGCAATCGCCAACGCATGGGTTTTGCAAACCAAGTTGCGGGCGGGCGGGTGGGACGTTTGCAAGAGCACGTGAGCTGACAACCCACTGCGAGCAGAAATTAAGTGCACCACTGACATTGCACCGCGCAGGTTGCATTACACACGTTGCTTGGGATCCACCACCACCACCACCCCCGGCTTTATCGGTCCACCTTTTCGCATTGCAATTTACATTCGGTTCTGCCTCATCGTCTGTCCAGAATGTGAACTCAGACCATCCCAGCCGAGCCGGGATCGACCCCCCCCCCGCCATCCTCTGCAAAACATTGTTTTGCGCGCACACTCGCTTATCAAAAACAATCCATGTTCAAAAACCCCTTGCAACACACTGAAAAAAGAAAGAAGCAAAAAAACGAGACACCGTGCAAACGCGCGCGTCGTCGCGCGCGCATGCCAAAATATTGTCGAAACCTATGGTTTCGGAGGGATTTCAAAATAGAGTGCCCAAAAGAAAAACGCATTGGAACAGTATATATGTGTACATGTGTATATACACACGTATACGAATTATGCATGTGGAACTTGTTGATGAGAAGTTTTTTGCGCTCTTGCGAATTCCTAAGGTAACGATAGGTGGTTTCGACGTTTCAACAAAATACTACCAAGCGGGCTTCGCGCGCGCGTGTTGAAATCGTTCGAACGCCTTTGCGCGCGTGCCGTCGGTAGAACTCTTTACAGCCAAAAACCGACGACGTGCACACGCGCGCGTCGTCGCGCGCGCATGCCGATATCCCTCAGATTCGGTTTCGTAACGACTTCAAAACCGAATGCCCAAAAAACGTTGAAAACGCACACAATGTTTCGCAACATCAGCTTTCCAAAAAAAGCTTGGGCGAGCGCTCTTGCAAATTCTTGAGAAAACCATAGGTGTTCCAATATCTTCGTGGACTTCTGCCACACGGGCCTCTGGCGCCGCATGCCAACATCATTCGCGCGCCCATGCACGCGTGCTGGGGGGGGCACGATCCGTGCCCAACAAAGACCACGCGGGCAACTCGCGCGCCGGCCGCGCGCGCACGTCGAACTCTTTCCAAAACCTGCATCACCGACGTGAGGACGCCGACATCGTCGTCGGCGCGACCATTACCGGCGCCCGCGCTGGCCGCGCCTCACTCGGTGCGAACATCGTCACCTGCATCGCCACTATCATCACCGCGTCTACCGTAGTCGGCGTTGCCGCGATACCGCGCCCGCCCAAGTCGCCGACTCGCAGCGAAGTGCCCGCTGGGATGCGCCCAACGGTCAGCGCCACAACGGCCGCGCCGGCGGCGCCAAACTAGCTGGCCGCCGCGTGCGCGTGCTAGGGTTGGCGCGGCCGCAGAAATGCACCAGCCAACGACAAGCATGCATCAGAATCGCCACCGCATGGGTGTTGCAAACCAAATTGCGGGTGGGCGGGTGGGATGTTTGCAGAAGCATGGGATGTGTCAACTCATGGGTAAAAATCAATTGACCGCATAGACTGCACCACACAGATTGCACCGCATAGATTGCATTACATGGGTTGCACCGCATAGAAATGCACCACATAGATCGCACCGTATAGATTGCACCGCATCGATTACATTACATAGGTTGCATCGCACACCTTACACCACATAGATTGCACCGCATAGACTGCAAGAACCTACTGTTCGGGGTCAACGCTGGCTAAAATATGGGTACGAGTGGCTACCTCAATCATGTTGCACTACGGGCGGTCGTTCTCGCTGAACTGTGCCATTATGAGCGCGTCGTCGACGAATGCTATGCAAGTGACGTGGTCGTCTTTGGTCGTGTCCGTAAACTGGTGTGCTGACTATGGCTGTGCTGCTGGTCTTGGTAGTTGGACTGAGCAGAACTAGCCTGTCATGCTGCCTGCTTGGCCGCTGGGTGGTCTCGCAGAGGACTGCAGATTGCGCATGCGAGGCCGTTGCCTGACCTTGTGCCGTTTGACGGGTGGGCAATCAGATGGCGGTGCTCACAGGTGAAATGGGGAGCTCTGTAAGACTCCGTGACTTGTGCAGCGAGGTGTTTGTCGCGCTCGCGCGTGCTTAGCATGTAGCTTCTGCGAGCGGTCCCACAATGTGCGGGAAGCCTGGGTTCTGGCAGTGCTTGGCGCAGTCGCGGGTTGTGCGCAACGTTCAAAGCCTGTTTCTCGCACCACGGCGTTGAAAGCTGCAGCGATGCCGATGGCGTAGCGTATTGTGCTAAGCTTGAGTTGATGGCTGGAGTTGGTTACGAGCGTGGATGCATGCGCCGCGAAGGCTCCTGGTGTCCCTGAAAGTCCTCCACATTACGTCGGTAGTAGTGCTTTGGTGAGTAGGACAGTGCGGATCTGTCTGGCGTAAGTGTAGTGCAGTTTGGGGATATCTGATGCAAGCGATATGGGACGACATTGAGTAGCGTTGCTCGTCGGTCCTTGCCTTTTGTGTAGCAGCATGGATGCACCATGTTTCCACAACAAGGGTTCCTGCTAGGTGAGTGATGCCTTAAGGAGTAATTGGTGGGCGTGCCGAACTGTGCGAACTGGTGCTGCTTTGAGTAAGTCGATTGTAACGCTGTCGAACCCTGACTGCTTGCGTCGCTTGGCGTTTGTTTCAGAAGTGTCATTGTGCGTGGTAGCGTGATCGCGAAGTCGAATGTAGATGGTGTGACTGGTGTAGTGAGCGTGGTGTTGTAGCAATGGGGTATGCCACTAGTGACTAGTGTCGGTGAGTGTGGCTCCTTCCTGTGGTGCAAAGTGTCTGGTGAAGTCGTTTCCTCGTTGCTCGCTATGTTCCAATACCTCGCCCGTTGCGTCGGTGAAAGCGGGCATGGCCTGTGATTTGATTATCTTCGGTTTTTTTCGGGTGCCTGGTCCGTAGCGTAATCCTGCTCTGGCGCATTGCCACGCTGCCCTGTGTTCCCGCGGGTCGTGCAGGCGCTGGAACAAGTCCGAGACGGATGCGGCGGCCGTTGGCTCTGTCTTGCCTGCAGCCCCGCCAACTCGGGTCATGTTTGGGCCACCCATACGGGGCACGAAACATGGGAGACGGGTGGGCCGAACTGTGCGGGGTGAGCGCGCGCGAGTGCATCCTCACCGTAACCTGGTTGGGGCTCCCACGGGGCACGCATCGTGTTGGAGGGTCGCACCAGGCGCGCTGGGCGCGCGCACCCCCTGAGGGGCCGTGGCTGGGTTCCCCTGCGGGCACGAAATCTGCGATGGGCAGTCCAACATGGGCTCGGGAGAGCGCGTGCCAGTGACAAGCCCCCCTTCTGTGGGCCGCAGAGTGCGTAGACTGCCTGTGAAGCACGAAATGCGTGAGGAGGCGCGCCGAAGCGGCCTCGGCTGAGCGCATGCGGCCCCCCATCCCCCAGCTGGTGCGGCCCCCAGATGAGGCAGGAAACATGTGAGCGGGGTGGCCACATGGGAGCGCGTAGGCAAATGGGAGCCCCTGCCCTGCACAGTACAGTCGGGGCGTTGACCTAAGGAACCCTAAATAAGGAACGAGGCCCCTTTTCTCCACAAGTTAAGCTTCGATTTCCCATCGAGAACATAAGCAAAACCTGAGGCAAGCTGTGACACACTTGAGGAACGCGGAGCCCCTCCCCAACCAAAAGGGTTCCTTCTTCAGGGCCCCGGCTGTAGCTGAGCCGGGGATCCCTGCGAGGCACGAAACATATGAGGTGTGTGCCAAATTTGGTGCGGGTGAGCACTTGCGAGGCCCCCGCCCTGGGTGCCCCTATGAGGTGCGACGGCCCCCAGAGACAGGCATGTATGAGAATTGAATAGAGGAGCATTTTGACGGTACGGATGCCAGCCCGCCTCTTCCTCAATCATCCTGGCCCTCGCTCGAAACAGTAACGAAAATGCTGAGAATACACGCTCTCATACCAAAGTTCTACTAGTGCCGAGCGGGGCAGGGGAATAGCAGACCCTTGAAAAAAATTAGACCAGCCGTGCTGGAGGGTTTTGACGGTGACAGGCGGATCCACGACCGCTCACTCTTCATCGCAGCGGCGAGTCCGTGTACAACTCCCAGTCACCCCACGCAGACCCAGTCAGGCCATCCTGATAAAACATGCCGATGATTGCCATCATCGCCAGCCTTCCGTTCGCGATCTCGGCGTTCAGCTTGCGGGACTTGGCCTCGCCGGCCGGCAGTGTGCTGCCGTTGGGCACGCCCAGGACGCCGCCGTTCTCGTAGTCGCCAGGGGCCCTCGACGGGTCGTACACGAACAGGCCCTTCTCGAGCAGGCCGCAGAACAGGAAGATCTGGCACCAGCCCGCTCCGGGGACCTTGGACAGCGCTGCAAGACCGTTGGGGATGTCCGCGAACTTGAGGCCCTTAGACGGCGAGCAGTAGCCAGGCCACTTGAAGTACTCAGGGGTGATGTAGCCCATGCACGCCCACATGGATACGCGCCCGTGCTTGATCTCGGTGACGCGGCGCCTCTTGAACGCCTCCGTATCGCCGTCCTTAGTCAGCCCGGCTGGATCCCAGTACCCGAAAGGGGCCTGCACGCCCAGCTCGCTCTCGAACGCGCGCAGTGGGGAGTCGGTATACAGCGCCCAGTCGCCCCACGCACTTCCAGTGAGACCGTCCTGAAAAAACATCCCGATGATCGCCATCATTGCCAGCCTGCCGTTGGCGATCTCGGCATTCAGTTTCTTCGTCTTCGCCTCGCCGTCGAAGCCGGAGAGCAGGGGCGGCTTCCAGCCCACGTCGCCGGGCGTCTGCTCAGTGCCGATGTAGTTGAAGCCGAGGCCAGACGCCTCGACGTAGAGGCAGTAGATGACGATCTGAAGCCACCCGAGGAACGGCACCTTGGAGATGGCTGCCAGGCCGTTCGGGATATCCTGGAAAGCGAGACCCTTGGACGGGCTGAGGTACCCTGGGAACTTGCCAGCGACCTCGGGCGTAATGTAGCCCATCGTAGCCAGCATCGACACGCGGCCATGCTTTATCTCCGTGGAGCGTCGGCGCTTGAAGGCCGCAGCATCACCGTCCTTCGAGAGACCAGCAGGGTCCCAGAAGCCCACGGGAGCTTGCACGCCCAGCTCGCTCTCGAACGCGCGCAGCGGAGAGCCCGTGTAGAGCGCCCAGTCGCCCCACGCGGAGCCAGTCAAGCCGTCCTGGAAGAACATTCCGATGATCGCCATCATGGCCAGACGACCGTTGGCGATCTCAGCCGCCAACTTCTTCTGCTTCTCCCCAGCGTCGCTGGACGTCAGCACCTTGAAGCCGAAGTCACCCGCAGCGGCGGCGGTGCCAGCGGACTGGTCCTGGGACAGCTCGCAGAACGCGCCGTACGCCACGATCTGCGCCCAGCCCGCCGCGGGAACCTTGGAGATCGCCCGAGGCCGTTCGGGATGTCCGCGAACTTCAGGCCAGCGGACGGCGACAGGTACCCTGGCAGCTTGCCGGTGATCTCTGGGGTGATGTAGCCCATCGTCGCCAGCATAGACACGCGGCCGTGCTTCAGCTCGGTCTGGCGCCGGCGGGCAAAGTTCTCCGTGCTACCGTCCGCAGTGAAGCCAGCGGGATCCCAGAAGCCAACCGGGTCCTGCACGCCCAGCTCGCTCTCGAACGCGCGCAGCGGAGAGCCCGTGTAGAGCGCCCAGTCGCCCCACGCGGAGCCAGTCAAGCCGTCCTGGAAAAACATTCCGATGATCGCCATCATGGCCAGACGACCGTTGGCGATCTCAGCCGCCAACTTCTTCTGCTTCTCCCCAGCGTCGCTGGACGTCAGCACCTTGAAGCCGAAGTCACCCGCCGCGGCGGCGGTGCCAGCGGACTGGTCCTGGGACAGCTCGCAGAACGCGCCGTACGCCACGATCTGCGCCCAGCCCGCCGCGGGAACCTTGGAGATCGCACCGAGGCCGTTCGGGATGTCCGCGAACTTCAGGCCAGCGGACGGCGACAGGTACCCTGGCAGCTTGCCGGTGATCTCTGGGGTGATGTAGCCCATCGTCGCCAGCATAGACACGCGGCCGTGCTTCAGCTCGGTCTGGCGCCGGCGGGCAAAGTTCTCCGTGCTACCGTCCGCAGTGAAGCCAGCGGGATCCCAGAAGCCAACCGGGTCCTGCACGCCCAGCTCGCTCTCGAACGCGCGCAGCGGAGAGCCCGTGTAGAGCGCCCAGTCGCCCCACGCGGAGCCAGTCAAGCCGTCCTGGAAGAACATTCCGATGATCGCCATCATGGCCAGACGACCGTTGGCGATCTCAGCCGCCAACTTCTTCTGCTTCTCCCCAGCGTCGCTGGACGTCAGCACCTTGAAGCCGAAGTCACCCGCCGCGGCGGCGGTGCCAGCGGACTGGTCCTGGGACAGCTCGCAGAACGCGCCGTACGCCACGATCTGCGCCCAGCCCGCCGCGGGAACCTTGGAGATCGCACCGAGGCCGTTCGGGATGTCCGCGAACTTCAGGCCAGCGGACGGCGACAGGTACCCTGGCAGCTTGCCGGTGATCTCTGGGGTGATGTAGCCCATCGTCGCCAGCATAGACACGCGGCCGTGCTTCAGCTCGGTCTGGCGCCGGCGGGCAAAGTTCTCCGTGCTACCGTCCGCAGTGAAGCCAGCGGGATCCCAGAAGCCAACCGGGTCCTGCACGCCCAGCTCGCTCTCGAACGCGCGCAGCGGAGAGCCCGTGTAGAGCGCCCAGTCGCCCCACGCGGAGCCAGTCAAGCCGTCCTGGAAGAACATTCCGATGATCGCCATCATGGCCAGACGACCGTTGGCGATCTCAGCCGCCAACTTCTTCTGCTTCTCCCCAGCGTCGCTGGACGTCAGCACCTTGAAGCCGAAGTCACCCGCCGCGGCAGCGGTGCCAGCGGACTGGTCCTGGGACAGCTCGCAGAACGCGCCGTACGCCACGATCTGCGCCCAGCCCGCCGCGGGAACCTTGGAGATCGCACCGAGGCCGTTCGGGATGTCCGCGAACTTCAGGCCAGCGGACGGCGACAGGTACCCTGGCAGCTTGCCGGTGATCTCTGGGGTGATGTAGCCCATCGTCGCCAGCATAGACACGCGGCCGTGCTTCAGCTCGGTCTGGCGCCGGCGGGCAAAGTTCTCCGTGCTACCGTCCGCAGTGAAGCCAGCGGGATCCCAGAAGCCAACCGGGTCCTGCACGCCCAGCTCGCTCTCGAACGCACGCAGCGGAGAGCCCGTGTAGAGCGCCCAGTCGCCCCACGCGGAGCCAGTCAAGCCGTCCTGGAAGAACATTCCGATGATCGCCATCATGGCCAGACGACCGTTGGCGATCTCAGCCGCCAACTTCTTCTGCTTCTCCCCAGCGTCGCTGGACGTCAGCACCTTGAAGCCGAAGTCACCCGCCGCGGCGGCGGTGCCAGCGGACTGGTCCTGGGACAGCTCGCAGAACGCGCCGTACGCCACGATCTGCGCCCAGCCCGCCGCGGGAACCTTGGAGATCGCACCGAGGCCGTTCGGGATGTCCGCGAACTTCAGGCCAGCGGACGGCGACAGGTACCCTGGCAGCTTGCCAGTGATCTCTGGGGTGATGTAGCCCATCGTCGCCAGCATAGACACGCGGCCGTGCTTCAGCTCGGTCTGGCGCCGGCGGGCAAAGTTCTCCGTGCTACCGTCCGCAGTGAGCCAGCGGGATCCCAGAAGCCAACCGGGTCCTGCACGCCCAGCTCGCTCTCGAACGCGCGCAGCGGAGAGCCGTGTAGAGCGCCCAGTTCGCCCCACGCGGAGCCAGTCAAGCCGTCCTGGGAAAACATTCCGATGATCGCCATCATGGCCAAACGACCGTTGGCGATCTCGCGCCAACTTCTTCTGCTTCTCCCCAGCGTCGCTGGACGTCAGCACCCTTGAAGCCGAAGTCACCGCGCGGCGGCGGCGGCGGTGCCAGCGGACTGGTCCTGGGACAGCTCGCAGAACGCGCCGTACGCCACGATCTGCGCCCAGCCCGCCGCGGGAACCTTGGAGATCGCACCGAGGCCGTTCGGGATGTCCGCGAACTTCAGGCCAGCGGACGGCGACAGGTACCCTGGCAGCTTGCCGGTGATCTCTGGGGTGATGTAGCCCATCGTCGCCAGCATAGACACGCGGCCGTGCTTCAGCTCGGTCTGGCGCCTGCGGGCAAAGTTCTCCGTGCTACCGTCCGCAGTGAAGCCAGCGGGATCCCAGAAGCCCACGGGTCCTGCACGCCCAGCTCGCTCTCGAACGCGCGCAGCGGAGAGCCCGTGTAGAGCGCCCAGTCGCCCCACGCGGAGCCAGTCAAGCCGTCCTGGAAAAACATTCCGATGATCGCCATCATGGCCAGACGACCATTGGCGATCTCAGCCGCCAACTTCTTCTGCTTCTCCCCAGCGTCGCTGGACGTCAGCACCTTGAAGCCGAAGTCACCCGCCGCGGCAGCGGTGCCAGCGGACTGGTCCTGGGACAACTCGCAGAACGCGCCGTACGCCACAATCTGCGCCCAGCCCGCCGCGGGAACCTTGGAGATCGCACCGAGGCCGTTCGGGATGTCCGCGAACTTCAGGCCAGCGGACGGCGACAGGTACCCTGGCAGCTTGCCGGTGATCTCTGGGGTTATGTAGCCCATCGTCGCCAGCATAGACACGCGGCCGTTGTGCTTCAGCTCGGTCTTGGCGCCGGCGGGCGTATGTTCCGTTGCTACCGTCCGCAGTGAAGCCAGCGGCGATCCAGAAGCCAACCGGGTCCGGGCACGGGAGCTCGCTTCGGAACGCGCGTATGCCGCGAGAGCCGTGTAGAGCGATCGCGGGGCCCAGCGGAGCCAGTCAAGCGCCGTCCTGGAAAAACAGCCGATGTCGCCATCATGGCCAGACGACCGTTGGCGATCTCAGCCGCCAACTTCTTCTGCTTCTCCCCAGCGTCGCTGGACGTCAGCACCTTGAAGCCGAAGTCACCCGCCGCGGCGGCGGTGCCAGCGGACTGGTCCTGGGACAGCTCGCAGAACGCGCCGTACGCCACGATCTGCGCCCAGCCCGCCGCGGGAACCTTGGAGATCGCACCGAGGCCGTTCGGGATGTCCGCGAACTTCAGGCCAGCGGACGGCGACAGGTACCCTGGCAGCTTGCCGGTGATCTCTGGGGTGATGTAGCCCATCGTCGCCAGCATAGACACGCGGCCGTGCTTCAGCTCGGTCTGGCGCCGGCGGGCAAAGTTCTCCGTGCTACCGTCCGCAGTGAAGCCAGCGGGATCCCAGAAGCCAACCGGGTCCTGGTGGCGGCGCGCACAAGGGAGTAGGGGGAGGGGGGAAGGCTTCTTAAAAGGAGGCTGCTTCATAGAAGGCGTCGGCCTTACATCTATAGACAAGGCCCGCGCCTGCTAAGAAGCAGGAGTGCTTCTAAAAAGCTTTCCCCCCTTCCCCTACCCCCCTCTGCGCGTGGCTGATCCTGCACGCCCAGCTCGCTCTCGAAAGCGCGCAGCGGAGAGCCCGTGTAGAGCGCCCAGTCGCCCCACGCGGAGCCAGTCAAGCCGTCCTGGAAGAACATTCCGATGATCGCCATCATGGCCAGACGACCGTTGGCGATCTCAGCCGCCAATTTCTTCTGCTTCTCCCCAGCGTCGCTGGACGTCAGCACCTTGAAGCCGAAGTCACCCGCCGCGGCAGCGGTGCCAGCGGACTGGTCCTGGGACAGCTCGCAGAACGCGCCATACGCCACGATCTGCGCCCAGCCCGCCGCGGGAACCTTGGAGATCGCACCGAGGCCGTTCGGGATGTCCGCGAACTTCAGGCCAGCGGACGGCGACAAGTACCCTGGCAGCTTGCCGGTGATCTCTGGGGTGATGTAGCCCATCGTCGCCAGCATAGACACGCGGCCGTGCTTCAGCTCGGTCTGGCGCCGGCGGGCAAAGTTCTCCGTGCTACCGTCCGCAGTGAAGCCAGCGGGATCCCAGAAGCCAACCGGGTCCTGCACGCCCAGCTCGCTCTCGAATGCCGCCATCACGACCTTGTGCTGCGCAGAGCCGTGCGAGGTGGCCTTCCCGCCAGCGCTGGACAGCGCACCCCGAGCAAACAGGGCCAGGGCAGCAGACGCCCCGATCAGAGTCAGGCCGATTCCAGCAGGCGCAGCCGATGGGGAGACAGGGGCCGCTCCCGACGCCCCCGCGATATCCAAAGCTGCATCGGGGTGGCCGCGGGGCGCATGCTGGCCAAGCGGCGCCGCCACGAAGGCGCTGCACAGCTGGCAGGCCACCAGGCCGGCGGCGAAGGCGGCGACGAGCGAAACGGCCGAGGAGCGCTGCATCGTCTGCTTCGGGAGGGAGGGATGGCCGAATGAAGTCCAAAAGAGTAGAGCTGCACGCCCAACCTTAATTGAAAAACTCTGCCCCAAACTGGCTAAGGAAGGGGAGGATGTCGAATAGATGAGGATGAGGATGATTTAGCAGAACGGCCTTGGCGAAATGACCCTCGCAGATAAAGGGTTGACCCTTCTCCTCATCCCCACCTTGGATTCCTGACCGAGGGGGGGTCGTGAGGGGCTGCAGTCCCAAATGGCCCCTAATAGCTCAATGATGACACCAATCATCCAAAGATTGCTGCCATGCTGGCTCAAGATTCCCAAAGTTGACCCAGATGGCCTCCAGCATGCTTCCAACAAAACAAACATGGAATACATGATTGCGCGGGAGAATTTCCCGAACTGCTGAACGTTATAGCCGATTGTCGTGTAGGTCAGAGGTGGGCATGATCCCGCTGGGGCTGCGGCCTAACTGCCCCTGGAGATCATGGGTCACAGGGCCAGGAAGAGCCCCAAGACGGCCCTACAGGGTCCCAGGAGGGCTTCAAGACGGCCCAGAGAAGCCCCCAAGACTGTCTCTGAAGGCGCCAGACAGTTCAAGAGCGACCTAAGATGGCCCAAGAAAGATGGCCCAGGAGAGCCCCATGATGGCCCAAGAAGACCCAGGAAGCCCGAAAGAATCCGAAGTTAGCCCAAAGACGATATCAGAAGTACCCTGCCCAGTGTTCCCCCAGCGGTCTCCCCGACAGCTGGCGGGGGAACACACAGTCAAATATCGTGACCGCCCTTCGCCCGCCATTCCACGACACAAGCGTTTCCACAAGGCGGGGGAGAGGGTTGCGGTGCCTCACCGCAGGGATCTTCGACAAGCTGTCACCACGACGCGCCTTGATAGTCAAGAGGCTCCTAGAAAGCTCCAATATGGCCATGAGCCCCAAGCCAGCCAAGGCTGCCGCAAGAGGCCTGCATGAAAGCGTAAAACTGCGCAACGAATATCGCCGCGTTCGCATTTTCGGCTTCCGATGGGGCCTTGAGGCCTCCAGACAAGATGGCCCCCCGATATGGGTCAGTAGAGGCAAGAGGGCCCTGCGGATCCCAATGGGGCCCCATCGAGGGCCCCAAAGGCTCCCAACAGCACCCCAAGAGAGCTCCAAGTGAGACCCAGGGATAAAATCGTCGGGCTTGCAAAGGGAGTTACGAACGAGAAACTCCCACCGTACTTGGCCAGTTACATCCAGCATGGCCCTCATGACAAGAGGGCCCCAAGAGATCCCCAAAGAGGGCCCTGAGGGGCCTCCAGCAGGCTCAAACTTGATTAGTTGGGCAGGTCGAGAAGATAAAGCTAATGTAAGCGAACCCCTGATCACCTAAAACAAACAGCTGCGCGGATACAAGCTAAACTCAAATCAGCTACGCCAGGTGCAGCTACGCTAGCCGAAGCGAACCTGAATACACCAAGCGCAGCTCAGCTACGTTCAGAAGCTAAGATACGCTGCGTTCAAGTATGGGAACACGGCTTAAAGCAAAGCCAAGTCAGGATGACCTGAGTTAAGCCCAGCTTAGAATTGAGCTGAACCAAGCTTCGCTAAGCCAAGCTAAGCTAAGCTCACCTGCGCTATAGCTGTCTGAAGAAAGCAAGGCTAAAATATTACCAGGAGGTATAGCATAGTGGGCTACGGTTAGCGTAGTCACCGCTTGAATTGAAATCATATTTGGCTTGACTGGGGTCCCCTTCTGGGCTTCAATCATGACCCACCAAGTCCAAATCTTCATCCTCATCATCACCACCATCATCATCATCATCATCATCATCATCATCATCATCATCATCATCATCATCATCATCATCATTCTCGGCCTCGTCCTAGTCCTCGTCCTCCTCCTCCTCCACTTCCTCCTCCTCGTCATCATCCTCCTCTTCCTCCTCCTCCTTCTCATCCTCATCATCCTCCCTTCCTCCTCCTTCTCCCCCTTCTCCTCCCATACCTGGGTTGCCCCTTAGCCCCCCACGGGCGGAATGCTCCGCCCCCGAGGCGTCGCGCGCGGCCGCGCGCGCAGTCCTCAGCGGTAGGCCCGCCGGGGCACGTCCGTGCTGGTCGAGGAGCGACAGCAGGCAGCGGCGGCGGGGGCGAGCCTGGAGCGCCTCGGGCCGCGTGGGCGCCCCGCGTCGTCGTCGTCGTCGTTGTCGTCGTTGTCGTCGTCGGCGGCAGCGGCGGCGGAGGAGAAGCGGAGCAGGAAAAGCCGGAGGGAGGAGGCGCTCCTCCTCTCCTCCTCCTCCTTCCTCCCTTCCTACATCCTCCTCCATCACATACACCACACACCATCATCATCATCATCATCCTCCTCATCCTCCTCCTCCTCCTCATCATCATCATCAGCAGCAACATCATAATCAGCATCATGATACGCAGCAGCAGCAGCATCAGCAGAATCATCCTCATCATCATCAGCAGCAGCAGCATCAGCATCAGCAGCAATAGCATCAGCATCAGCATCATCATCATCATCATCATCATCATCATCATCATCATCATCATCATCATCAGCATCAGCATCATCATCATCATCATCATCATCATCATCAGCATCATCAGCAGCAGCATCATCATCATGAGCATCAGCATCAGCATCAGCAGCATCATCATCATCCTCATCGTCAGCATCATCAACATCATCATCTTCCTCATCATCACCGTAGTAATCGTCATCATCATCAGCATTACCAATCATCATCACCATCATCATCATCATCATCAGCATCAGCAGCAGCAGCAGCAACAGAAGCTATCACCATCATCAGCATTGTCATCATCATCAGCATCATCAGCAGCAGCGGCAGCATCATCATCGAAATCATCGTCATCATCACCATCATCATCAGCATCAGCATCACCATCATCAACAACATCGTCATCATCATCATCATCATCATCATCATCATCATCATCATCATCATCAGCAAAAGCATCAGCATCAGCATCATCATCATCATCGTCATCATCATCATTCTCATCCTCATCATCATCACCATCCTCAACGTCATCATCCCTCATGAAAATGAGCAGCAGCAGCAAAGGCCTAATCATGAGCATCCTCAACACCACAACCACCACCACCACCACCACCACCACCGTCATCGTCATCATCATCATCATCATCATCATCATCATCATCATCATCATCATCATGGTTATTATTGTCAGCATCATCAGTTTCTCCATCATCATCATCATAATCACCGGCAGCAGCAGCCATCATCACTTTCATCATCAGCATCGTCATCATCATGATCGTCTCCATCATCGGCATCACCATGCCTAACACCACCACCAGCATCATCAGCATCAGCATCGTCATCGTCCTGGCAATCATCCATCATCATCAGCATCATGATACGCAGCAGCATCATCACCATCATCGTTACCACCATGACCATCATCATAATCATCAGAATCATCATCATCAGCATCATCAGCATCATCATCGTCATCATCGTCATCGTCATAACCATTATTATCATCACCGTCATGGGCATCAACAGTATCGTCAATAGCATCATCATCATCATCTTCATCATCAGCAGCAGCATCAGCATCACCATTAGTATCATCATCAGCATCATCGTCATCACCATCATCGTCATCCTCATCAGCATCGCCACGAACATCGCCACCATCCTCTCTTCTTCATCACGATCATCATCATCATCATCATCATCATCATCATCATCATCATCATCATCATCCCCATGTTCTGCCTCCTCCTCCTTCTGCTCTTCCTCCTCCTCCTCAATCGCTCCTCAGACTCCTCCTTCTCCTCCTCCTCCATCGTAACTCCTCCTCCTCATCCTCATCATCACCCGTCATCATCTGTCGTCATCCGTCATCTCTATCAGCATGGTCACCACCAGCAACATCGTCATCATCGTAATCATCGGCAGCATCTGCATCCACATCATCAGCATCATCATGATGATCATCATCGTCATCACCAGCAGCAGCATCATCAGCATCATCAGCAGCACCATCATTAGCATCAGCAGCAGCATCATCATCGTCATTCGCATCATCATCATCATCATCATCATCATCATCATCATCATCAGCAGCAGCAGCAGCAGCAGCATCAGCACCAACATCAGCATAATCATCATGCTAATCATCCTCCCCATCCTCTGCCTGGTTCGCTCCTTCGTCCGACTTCTCACTCCCCTCCTCCTCCTCCTCGCCCACCCAGCAGACTCCCAGCGCCTGCTGCCGAGCGGCGAACACCGCCGGAAGCGTCAGCTCGCGGGGCACGAGCTCGTCCAAAGAGCCGTCCTGGCAGAGGGAACGTACCCCAAGTTGCCCGTATCCTACGCCTCCCTCTCCTCATCCTCCTCACACTCCTCCTCGTCTTCCTCCATCTGTTGCTCCTCCCCCTCCTCCTCCTCCTCCTCCTCCTGCTCCTCCTGCTCCTCCTCCTCATCATGACAACACACCCATCGTCATCGCCACCACAATCTGCCGCGCCTGCGTCCTGCTGCGCTGTCAACGGAATGTTTCCCATGCGACTGATGCCCCTCCTCCTCCTCCTTCTCCTCCTCATCCTCCTCCTCATCATCATCATCGTCATCATCATCAGCAGCAGCATCAGCATCATCATCAGCATCAGCAGCAGCATCATCATCATCAGCATCATAACCACTATCACCACCACCATCACACCATCACCGCCACCATTTGCGAACTCATTCTCCTCTGCCCTCCTGTCCAACCCCCTGCTCCTCCTCTTCCTCCTTCGCACCACACCACCAACTCCACCTCCTCCTCCTCCTCTGTCTCTCCTCCACCTCCTCCTCCTCCTCCCAATCCTCCTCCTCTTGCTCCTCCTCCTTCTCCTCCTCCTCCTCCTCTTCCTCCTCCTCTTCCTCCTCCTCTTCCTCCTCCTCCTCCGCTTCCTCCTCCTCCTCCTCATCCTCGTCGTCCTCCTCCTCCTCCTCCTCCTCCTCCTCCCCACCATCATCATGACAATTACCTTGACAAAAACCACCACCGCCGCCGCCGCCGCCACCACCACCACCACCACCACCATCATCATCATCATCATCATCATCATCAGCAGCATCATCATCATCATCACCACCACCACCATCATCATCATCATCATCATCAGCAGCAGCAGCAGCAGCAGCATCCTCATCAGCATCATCATCACAATCATCATCAGCAGCATCATCATCATCATCATCATCATCATCAGCATCATCATCATCATCATCATCATCATCATCGTCAGCCTCATCGTCATCAGCAGCAGCATCGTCATCACCATCAGCATCATCACCATCATCGTCACTATCAGCATCATCCTTACCGACATCATCATCATCATCATCAGTACCCGCATCATCATAATCGTCACCATCATCAGCATCATCATCAACATCATCATCATCATCATGAACAACATCGTCATCATCACCATCAGCATCAGCATATGCATCAGCATCACCATCAGCCTCGTCAAGGTCTGCCATGTCCTCCTCCTGATCCTCCGCATCGTCCCCCTCCTCCTGCACCACATCATCAGCACCACTGACATCATCATCACCATCATCATCAGCAGCAGCAGAAGCAGAATCGCCATCATGATCATCATCATCGTCCTCATCATCATCATCATCATCATCATCATCATCGTCGTCAGCATTGTCATAGTCATACACAGCAGCACAATCAGCATCGTCATCTTCATCATCGTCGTCATCAGCATCGCCATCAACACCACCATAATCACACCACCACCACCACCACCACAACCACCACCACCATCATCATCATCATCATCATCATCATCAGCATCATAATCACCATCATCGTCATCATGATCATCATCATCATCATCATCATCATCATCATCAGCAGCATCATCATCATCATCAGCTCGTCGTCGTCATCGTCATCGTCACCGTCGTCATCATCCTCATCCGCATCATCGGCATCATCATCAGCCTCTGCATCATCATCATCATCATCATCATCATCATCATCATCCTCATCATCATCATCAGCAGCAGCATCATCAGAATCATGAGCATCATCATCATACATAGCAGCATAATCAGCGTCATATGTATCATCGTCATCAGCATCATCATCATCAGCACCACCATCATCACACCATTATCATCATCTGGATCATCATCGTCATCATGATCATCGTCGTCAGAATCGTCAGCAGCATCATCGTCATCATCATCATCAGCATCCTCATCATCATCATCATCATCAGCATCATCATTATCATCATCATCATCATCATCATCATCATCATCATCATCATCATCATCGTCAGCATCATCATCACCGCACAACCATCAGTACCACCACCGTCAGCATCATCAACATCATCGGCATCATCGTCATCATCATCCCCATCATTATCCATGTCCTCGCCATCATCACCAACATCAACAACAACAACAGCATCATCATCATCATCATCATCATCATCATCGTCATCCTCATCATCATCACCAGCATAATCATAAGCAACATCGTCGTCAGCATCATCAGTTTCATCAGCATCATCATCAGCATCATCATCATCATGCTCATCACCATCAGCATCATCATGCTCAGCTTCATCATCAGCATCATCATAACAATCACCGTCGTCGTCATCGTCATCATCACAAGAATGCTCAGCATGGTCTTCGTCGTCGCCATCATCATCAGCATCATCGTTATGATCGTCATCATCTTCATCATCTGCATCATCATCAGCATCATCATCAGCATCGTCATGACCACCACAGCCATCATTACCATCCTTACCATGATCATCAGCATCACCGTGATCATCAGTATCATCAGCAT